GAGCCCGGGACCTAGGTGTCTTCCCTGACCGGGGAGAGAAACCGCACACTTTTGGTGCTCAGGACAGTGAGCTAACCACCTGAGCCGCCTGACCAGGCCATATTTTCTCACTTAATTTTTCCATCCCAGATACCACGTCAGATCGATTCTTCCACCAATTTTGTTGATATATAATTAACACATAACATTGTATTAGTTTAAGGTGTACACATAATGATTTGATATTTGTATATATTGTGAAATGAATCGCACAAAAGTTTAGTTACTATCTATCATCTCACATAGTTACAGGGATTTTTTTCTTGTGAAAACGTTTAAGTCAGATCAATTCTTAACAGAACTCTTGGACCTTCTCTGGGATCAAGGATTTTAAAACATTTCCAGGAACACAATGAAAAAATAATTAAGGCCCATAAACCACTGTATTTCATTTAAACCAACATTGTTGAAAAACAAACATTTCAGTGAAATTACTTTTCTGGATAACTGGCATCTATTTTATTGAATACCAATTTTTTTATTTCTTTTATCACTCTAAAGAAAATTTCTAAACTACTGTATATTTTAATGCCTTTTAAGACAAAATATTTTCATATCATTTTTTTCTTTTCATTTTCTTGAAAATGTAAAATCATCGGTTATTATACAGGGGGATCCTTCAGGGCCAATTTAGGTATGAAGTTTCTTTCTCAGGAATCATTTGGTGGCAAGTGACAGAAACTCAGGTCAAACTGGTAAGGAAGGTATTGGCTCACCTAACTGCAAGGGAGATGCTTCCAGTGTACCAACAGTGTGGTCATTAATTTGGAGTTTTCTCTTCCTCGCTTTCCATATGAAGAACCTGCTTTGCTCTGTGGTCATTTTGTTCTTTGGAAGGCTTTCCTTGTATGTCACAAGGATTGCTAACAGCAAGTCTGGAGCTCAGCCCCACCAACAGAAAGAAAGCTCTTTTCCAATGGTTCTAATAAATACTTTGAAGCTGACTCTCATTGGTCAGTGTAGCCACTTGCGCAGGCTGGAATAATCAGTGTGATTGAGAGGGAGTTCCCTCCTTGGCCAGGCCTGTCCTCAGCTCTGGAGCATTGGAAGAGCTTGGGTTTGGGGGAGGTGAGGATGACAGTCTCACATGAACCACACGAATAGAGGAACAGTGGAGATGGGGATTCCACAAAAGAAAATCAGTGTGCTGTCACCAAAAGAGGGGGATGGGGGAACAGGTGGGAAATGCTTGTCAGGCTAAAACTTCAAATATCCCCTATGGGAAAGATATTTATCCCCAAGTTTTGTAGCCTTAGATTACTATCTTTTCGGTCTCTTTCACTATCAGCTAACACTCATGCTGCTATTGGTTTGCCTCTATCACAATCTCTTCCTACATTTTCATTGATAACATCTTATCTTCCAAACGTTTGGAAACCAGATGGGCAAAGTCATTAGAAATGTTTTCAAAATAAGAGTTAATGGGCTTGGAGGTGAGCCTCATGTGCCTTTCTATGAGTAAGGAGTAGAGATTTTCTACTTTTTAATGGAATACATGACGTTTCTTATGATCCTTCAAAAGTCATTTTTGCTATTTTCTGATATCTTTTTCCAAAACTGCCTTCTTAATAGAGGATATGCTATTGCAATTTCGAGACCCAATGACTATGAACAGTAAATGCCATGAACATGGTTGCTTTAAGCAAAGGTTACATTTTTGTGATTTTCCTAAATTTAAGTGGTTTTCTGAAGTGAGACTAGTGGTGTAAGTGTTCATTTGAAAATGGAAACATAACAGAAAATAAACAGAGCTGACTAGTTGTAAGTTGTTTTGGACTTATTAAAATACTAGTATTTTATTTTTCCCTGCAGTACTTCTCTGATCTCAAATAAGTGCTTTGGCTTCCATGGTGGAGATTATAGGGAAACAAGAGGGAAGGTGGGGGTGAGGGAGTCGCTGAGGGGAAATTAATCAAAGAACTTACATGCATATATGCATAACCCACAGACAATAGTATGGGGAAGGCCTGAGGGTGGGATGGATGCAGGCTGAAGGGGGTCAATGGGGGAAAAGAGGGCATATCTGTAATACTTTCAACAATAAAGACAAATTAGGGAGAAAAATGTATAAACACCCACAGATAGCATATACTGTGCAACATTCCAAGTTTTGATTGTTTATGTTAAAAAGAACCACAATGATATTAATAAAATAAAATTTTAAAAGCTTCATTTAGCCAATAGTTTATATCCCCTAGAAAGTCATTTATACTTATTGGCTATCTAAAAATATTCTTCATAAGTGGCAGAATTGGCTGGTTTGGGGAATTTCATAAAGGAAGTGATTCTAGTAACACTGTCCAAGAGTTTCTATGTAATTCTTCTAAGGAGAAAGGTGAAGAAATGACAGTGATGGGTGTTATTATATCCATCTAATCAAGAATGTAGTCTTGAAAGAAAGAGATAAAAAGCATAGTAAAGAAAATCAATGGGATTAAGTAGTGAATTCTTCAAGACTGGTGAGACCTTGTCCTGCTTCATAGGAAAAGCAAAAAGATTCTTAAAGAATTATGATAATTAGAAAGACGGCATATGAGTGGCTAATCACTAACATTATTGAATGCTTACCATATGCATGGTTGGAACTACTGTAGCCTCCATTGTATAGCTAAGGAATTAGTTACAAAGAGGCTAAGCAATTTGGTGTATGATGGAGCTGAATTTCAGGCCCACGTTTGTCCGACTCCAAAGCCTGCAGGCCCCTTACAGTGGTGTAAACAATTACCTTAAAGCTTGGCAGTCCAAGACTGATGCAGCAACTAAAGGATGTCATCAAGGAACCAGCTCCTCCTGTTTTATTTATCTACTGTCTTTGGTATAGGACCTTTTAATCTCATGGTTGAAAGATGGCTGCTGGCCCTCTAGGTAGTGTGTCTACATTCTAGGAAGAAGAAAGGGAAATATTAGAGGGTGAAGAGTAAACAGTTTGATCCTTGAAAGCCTTGCCTTGTTGTTTGGGAATGAAAGTTCCCCACAGGGACTACCTCTTATATCTCATTACAGAGAACTGTGACACATGGCCACCTCTAGCTGCAAAGTGGCTAGGAATTGGAATACTTGGCTCTCAGCCTATATAGCGTAGGAAGCCTAGGGAGAAGGGATTGAAGTAGGTGTTTATGGAGTTCTGCCTTACAGTTTTTTTTAGTTATTTTGTGTAAGTTTATTTTTTCTGGCATACTGTAAACCTATAGAGAACAAAGAATGGGTTTTTGTTTTGATATCTTTGAATTGTCCACACTAACAAGCAAGTGACTACCGTAGCACTTATTACAATATCTAAGACATTGTGACTACTCAAAACAATGTTGTATTTTTTTAGCTTTAATTTAGAAATAACAACCATGCAAGGATTAGTGATTCCAGTTTCTCTGAAAATGATGGAATCCATAGGTTTCTCTCTGGTGGCTCATTTCTCCATATCAACATTGGAAAATTACCTGGAGCTTTTCTGCCTCATTGAGTTGGCCCATTAGGGAAGACAATTTAATGGTAGTATTACCTGAAATATTTTAAGTATAAACCACAAAAACAGGGTGGGAAAGAAGTCATATAAAAGTATGATGGTCAACAAGGGCTTTTTCAAGAGAAGTAAAAAGGTAGATAAGAATTAGGATAAGATATTGTAATCAAAGAAAAGATTTGCAGTTGAAAACTAAGAATAGTCTAATTTAAAATATTTTAGCCATTCAGGGTTCTAAAGGAAAAAATAAGTACAGTTCATTCATTGAAATTGCTCAAATTGCTACTTAATTTATTTGTTTAAATCTCAGATTGTTGTCCTATATCTGTACTCTTTCTCCTTCAAAACAGGTCTTATCATCCCTCTATCATCTTATTCTTAATTATAAATCATGGGGGAGGAAGATAAAACAATTGAACGTGAAGATTTGGAACCATCCACAGAGGTGAACCACACAGCCTCTACATATCAAGAAACACAGGTAAATCTGCAATCAAATGAAGTACAATCCCAACTGTTGCCTTAAGGAAAGGACTATGTGTTTCTAAATCTATGGATAGAATTGTTTTCTCTTCATTCCCAATCACTCAGTTAACAATACTCCCTTACTCTTTTTTTTTATTCTCACTCAAGCATATGTTTTTATTGATTTTAGAGAGAGAGGAAGGGAGAGAGAAAGAGAGAGAAACATTGATGTGAGAGAGAAACACGGATCAGTTGCCTCCTGTACATGCCCTGACTGGGGATCAACCTGCAACCTAAATATGTGCCCTGACCAGGAATCAAACTGGCAACCTTTTGGTGTATAGGATGATGCTCCGACCAACTGGGCCACCTGGTCAGGGCCTCCCTATTCTTAATCCCCAAACTAGTATATTCCAGGGTAGGTGTGACTACCAGTTTTCCCATATAGTCATTAACAGCTGGCCCAACATGAGGCTAGGAAAATAAAGAGCCTGTGAAATGCTTTGTGTTCTCAGCCTAACCTTTAGTACGGTTCTTTTTATTTCTCAAATTCAAGTAGATGAATAAATGTGAATTGGTTTTCACCACAGATAGTTATCTTTTATAGAACAACAATTTATATTTAACAACTGTTGCCTTGAATTATATATTAAATAGGGTAGTTTTTAAACTCAGTGTGGTGAAACAGAATGAAATTTTATGTGACTCAAGCATTTATAATGGTACAAATAGTGATTCAATAATAAATAATCCCAACATAGTTCTTGTTCCAAGTATTAGCTGATTAGTGTTAGCATTCCCTGGTAATGTTAGCCTTGAGTCTAGTAATGGGAATTTGATTCGTGATGTGATGGCTTAGTAACTAAAAAAATGTGTAGCAAATATACAGTTTAATGATTTTTTTAAAATTGTTTTAAACACAGGAGGAAACAGTTATAAACCAAAATGGTATCGATGGAAATAAACCAGCAGAAGGAAGTAGCGTTTTGAATAACAGCGAAAAAAGGACACAAGAAACACCAACCAAATCAAGTCCTTTGCAAAGACTAAGGCAAACATTCGCTTGCCCTCCACATGGCTTACTGGCTAGAGTAATAACAAATGGTATGTAAATGGTAAGGATGAGTTCAGAAACAGAGGGTAAAAGACAAAGTTGTTATGTAATGAGAGAGTCTAAAATAATATGGTTTAAAGAACAAAAAGTTTACTCCTCTAACACATAAAAAATACTAGGTGAAGAATTTGCAACAGTTAAGTTGCTCTGCTCCACACAGTCATACAGGGGCTCAGGCTGAAGGGCTTCACCATCTTTGACACCAGGCTTCCAAGAGCGCTATGGTCACCACCATTCCAGATGCCAAGAAGAGGAAAAGAGCAGGGATCGAGGACCTTTTCCTTTTCTGTATCTGAGTTATTTCACAGGATTAGGTTAGGGCTCCAATGAGAAAAGTGACTGAAAGTTGCTTGTAAACAGAAAAGCACCATATGAATGTTAGTTGTTATTACTGTTAGTTAATGCAGCTAATGTTTGAGCGAACACGGCTGTTTATACTTCCAAATGAATCGTGTAATTTTATATGTAAGGATCTTGGTTTGCAATTCAACTTATTCCAATAAAGCTGTTATTACTTAAAATATTTTGGGGATTTTTCATTGGGAATTTATCTCAGCACGGTTTTGAATATTGTTAGGGTTGTGATATAGTTGTCTTTTAAGGATGAATTTGGTTTTGGGGGGCAGTCAAACATTCTGATACCAAGTTGATGAATAAATGGATGTTCACATTGAGTAATGCTGGGTTTTGTTCATAAAGGGAGTACATGTGTTTGTGTGTACGTGTGTGTGCATGTTATGTATATTGCAGGATGTGCAGTATAGTAGGAAAAAGGAGAAGGGGGTTGAAAATGGTCTGTAAAGGCAAATTTAAAAACAATTTAACAAACTGTTGAGGAATGACTGCATCATTGAAATAAATATATTGCCTCACAAAGTAAGTATGTCAAAAATGTAACACATTTGATTTCAAAGTTATGTTTATTGAAAAACTAGACTCATTTCTTTATAGTTGTATTTCATTTGGGAGCTCTGAACGACATATTTACCATTCTCAACTGGGGCAATGGACGCCAAGTATAATACATTATGCTCTAGGCCCTAGATATGTTTTCAATGAAATTAGGTATGTATCTAAACTAGCATGAGAAAAAAAATCTCAAACTTCATTTAAAACACATAGAGAAAACCATGTTCCAAAATATATACTAGCTGATATGGCTACAGATAAGTTAATACCTTTTCTGTCCTTTTTATTATTTTTTAAAATGTGTACCATTCAAATTATGGCACATTTCTAGTTAAAACATTTACAGTAAAACAGATACATATTGACATAAGAGAAGGGTATAAATTAATGATGTGATTTTGAGACTCTTATTTTTTAATTCTATAATCATTTTCAATAAAGGTGCCAGAAAGGTGTGGCTCGGTATAGAAACACCTCTTCTCTTGTTTTCCTGAACTTCTATTCCTGAGCTTACAAGACTGCTTTTTTCTATACTACTCCCTGTGTCCATTCAGTATACATAAGGATTCTTAAGAAGTATATATTACATGTGAATATATAAATTTCTAAAATCATAAGTGAGAAGTAATTTATTAACTGAATTAAATGTGATATAGGGAAACCTTATAAATGTACATTTGCTATGTATTTAGCAATACGGGAAAGGAAAGGAACATTAGAGGTTTAAAAAAGGAGTCTTAAAGTGGAAAAAATTTTTAATTATTGACAGTGTTTATTTCCATCAATATGTAATTTATATTACCACTATATATTTATTAGCCAAGTATATTGCCGATATATACTTATTGACACAGTAATTATTTGTTCCCATCAATAAGTAGATAACCAGACCTCATATATGAGATATTAAAGTTCCATTGAAGTGGTAAACTCCTAATTCCACCTGGCTAAATTTAGTATAAAATTGGATTTATGCTATGATAAAGTAAAATTTAGTAGCTGATAATTCTTGCTTTCCCATTACTACATAGAAATTTCAGCCCCTATACCTGTTGGAAAATACCAAAGGCCCCCTTAGTTATTTCACTGTGATAGCATCATAAGCCTAGAAAATCTGGAACAATTCTGTTAGGGTTTAAAAAATAGAGTGTTGGATTTGATCTCTAGCAATATGGTAGCTAAGACTCAATGAATAATTTTATTTATACCAATGAAAACATCTGGAAAAAAATATTTTAAGTTTTTTATTTTATTTATTTATTTATTTATTTATTTATTTATTTATTTATTTATTTATTTATTTTTAAAATATATCTTTATTGATTTCAGAGAGAGGAAGGAAGAGGGAGAGATAGAGATAGAAACCTCAATGATGAGAGCCGTCATTGATCACCTGCCTCCTGCACGCCCCTGAATACAGATGGAGCCCACGGCCCGGGCATATGCCCTGCCCAGGAATCGAACTGCAATCTCCTGGATCCTAGGTCAATGCTCAACCACTAAGCCATGCCCGGCTGGGCAAGTCTTTTAAAATGTACCTTTTATCTATTAAGAAAACAGGAAATCATCAGACACCAAAACAAAGTATTAGTAAGAGAGATAAATAAGTACTCAATCTGGCTTTCACCCTGAAGACTCCCACAAAACACCAATGAACTTGAGGTTTATTTTGAGAGCCATGAGAGTACAGGAGGCTACGCTAGAGCCTGCCCAGGTTAGAAGAAGTGCATTAGGAGAAATCTACGAAATTGGGACCCAGTGTGATGGTAAAACTTAGGTAAACCTGCCCTGCAGATGGGGCCTGCAACTAAACCTATCAACTAAACCTATCTGTCTCCAATGTGGTGCAGGCTGAAGAGGGGAGAGTCTCCACTAAACATATGTAACTTCACTTTGATTTGTGCTCCAAAGTCACTGAAGAAAATCAAGCTGAAAGTATGTCTAAAAGTGGTCCTGGATTATAAGCTTCTGAGTACACGGTAGAAGTGAATTCATATCCTATCTGGAAAAACTCACATTTAACCTAAGGCTCCAATTCTCAAAGATAAAGTTCCAAGGAAGAGGTTGCTATTGCAAACACAAACAAACAAACAAAAATCACAATAAGCACAAGGAAACAGATTTCAAAAATTTTGCATTATCTGAAAATAGAATATAAAATATTTTTTATATCTGTAAAGAAGTTGAGATGATAGCAAATGTGAGTACAAAATAAGTGACTATTTTAAAAATGAACAAAGATATTTCATAAAAACCAAATTGAATTTCTAGAAATGAAAGATATAATACAGTAATTGAAATAGAAAACTTAGTGGCTAGATTTGGCAGCAGAGTAATAAGAGAATTGGTAAACTAGCAAATAGGTCTGAGGAGATTATCTAGAATGTAGTACACACAGACAAAAAGTGATAAATATGGAAACTACATTAGCAACATGGCCAAAAGAATGTGACTACCTAATCATAGTTCCAGAAAAAAGAGAACAGGAAGACTGGCGAAGAGGAAATATTTGAAGAAATGAGACTGAAAATTTTCTAGAATTGATGAAAACCTAAAACTAAAGCAAACCAAAAGGAAGCCATACCTAAACATAACATACTTAAAAACAGCCAAAGAAAAATTCTCTAATAGAGCTGAAATTAAACTTAAAATGAAAATTAGCAACAGTGAAAGCCAGAAAACCAAAGAATAATATTTTCAAGGAACTGAGAGAAATAAACTCAACCTCGGTTTGCATACCCAGAAAAACTATCTTTTAAAAATGAGAATAAAGATAATTCTAGACAAATCAGAATTGACTATCAACAAATCCATATAGCATACTTTGCTGCCAAGAGTTTCTGTACCACTTGCAATGGTAAATATGGAATTGTGTCAGTGTAATATGCAATTGAATTTTTGTACATCGTTTTTTCTGGCACATTAATACTTTGCATCATCAAGCAATAGAAGTGAATGCAAAGTGAATTGGAAAAAAAGTCAAGTATATACCTTCTTACAATTAAAGATTAAAGCCTTACTAATAGAAGGACCTTTTAAAAAGCTGAAATCTCTATGGAAGCACCTTCTTTTCAGGCAGTTCGTTCTGGTTTACGGACTTCAAAGACCATCACCTTTCCCCAGCGTTAAGCTACCTAATGAAACCGTGTGTCAGTGAGGAAGCTGACAGTACCGCGCTTTTCACTCGGTGAATAAGATCCAACATTAAAACCACATTTGGCTGGCGGAGAGGACTGCAGTCTGCGTGGGGTTTAGATGGAACTCCTCTCTGTTTAAAGCAAAGCCCGAAGAGTCCACATCTTGAACTAAGAAGTGCAGTTCCAGGGTTTCAGTCTGCAAAGAGACTGAGGGTGGGAGATAACAAATGTCAGTGGAGATTTGACTGTGTTGGTACTTTTTTTAGGATTGTTATTGTTTTTGTTAGTGCTTTGGTCACAGGTTTTGAGTTTTGAGTGGTCTACCCAACCCTGTTTTCCCTTAGCCTATCTATTTTCAGGGTACAGTTTGGTAGAACGCAGGGTTTTCAAGTAGGGAAACATATTTCACATTCTAAGAAATGCTTCTACTAAAGGGAATATTTCAGGCAACAAGATAATCATCTCAGGTGAAAGGTGTAAGATGCCATAAGAAATGATGATTTAAAAAAATAGGTAAGTATGTGGGTAATTCTAAACAAACATTGACTGTATTAAAGGAACAATAATGTTAACTTCAAGGCAGGACTAAAATATTGGCATGTGACTATGCAAGTATTCTCATGTTCCTCGGAAGAGGGTAAAGATAGTGATTGCTTCTCTTTTTAATATTAACTAGTGAGATATTTATGGTGAAATTATAAAGAAAAATGAGGAGCCCGGCCCGCATGGCTCAGTTTTTGAGCGTCAACCTATGAACCAGGAGGTCACAGTTCAATTCCCAGTCAGGACACATGCCAGGGGTCATGGGCTCCATCCCCAGTAGGAAGCGTGCAGGAGGCAGCCGATCAGTGACTCTCTCATCATTGATGTTTCTATCTCTCCCTCTCCCTTCCTCTCTCTGAAATCAATAAAAACATTTTTAAAAATTTAAATTAAAAAGAAAAAGAAGGAAATGGTAAAAAAAAAAAAAAATCAAGATAGTAGTTCCTTCTGGCTGTGTGAAAGGAAATGGGGATCAGATTAGGAGGGGGGCACATAGGTGGATTCAAAGCCACTGGTAACATTCTATTTCTTAAGATGTTGGTAATTACCGGGTTGTTCATATTACTGCTGTTCTTAAAACACACATGGTTATAAGTATTTGTATATGTATTCAATGTCTATTTTTAAATGCTTAGATTATATTAAAACTTGCATATAACAACTTATTGATGAAACTAGTTTCCCTGGTTTATTTCAGTTACCATGGTGGTTCTTCTGTGGGCTGTAGTTTGGTCCATTACTGGCAGTGAATGTCTTCCTGGAGGAAACCTGTTTGGAATTATAATCCTTTTCTATTGTGCCATCATTGGAGGTAAACTTTTGGGGCTCATTAAGTTACCTACGTTGCCTCCACTGCCTCCTCTTCTTGGTAAGTGTTAAACACTTCCTCTCCTCTTCAGAGTAAATCGTGTTTTAAGAATAGCAGTTCGGAAACCTTTGGGTTATAAAGGAATAAACTATTTCTGTATTTTATGTGCTGGAGCTAAAAACTGATAGTTAAATTTTGAGGGTTTTTGTGAATCAGTTGTAAAATGTGATTTAAAAAAATTAAACTATAAATACTTAGAGTTAAGTAACTTGCATTGAAAACAAGAGCGATAAATATTTAAAACTGATCATAAATCTGATCCTAAGTATTTTACTACATTTCCTCTTATCTCTGCTCTTAAGATTATGGAAATATGGTGCAATGGTGTGACACTGCCCATTTCTTCCCATCTCCACATTCAGGGACATCATGTTCATAGCTTAACATGGGCCAGGATGGAAGTATTTATAATACAGAAATCGGCAAATGCTACAAATCAAGACTTGATTTATTGCAAGTCACTCACATCTTTGACAAACAAGTGAGCTTCCAACACATATTTTCATTGTTTCATCTTATTAACATTAACATAAACAAAAATATCAATCAACATTTACGGTGACACCAATACTCGCTCATCACAATGTGAGTGACTTCTTTGCTAAATTTTTTCAATAAGGATTTGCTTCAAAATAATTTGGGAGTATTTGAAGTAAAGTTGGCCTTTTGTTGATAAGATTTGCATATTTAAATTTTTTTTCCATAATACAAATTAAGGGGGAAAAATACACCTTATCAAAGAAGGTGTTCTTTCCTCCAAAACCAAGGGAAAAGCTCATGTGCACTTAGAGGCAAGAAGGGCACACCTACCAAGTCACAGTCAGGTGGCCACATCAACCCAGACCACTGGCAAAGGAAACATGGTCCCACGGAAATTGTTTTCACATTCATTTTGAGAATAAAAAGCGTTCCCTCATTCCCCCCTAAAACTCCTAAGAAACTCTTAACACATTTTTGAGTTCTTGTAAGATTATTGCTCCTTTTGATTTCAGGTAGTCATATGCTATAATCAATCTAGGACTGATTTAGATCCACATTTTAAGTTTCAATAAGAAACTATTGACATGATAATGAAATATAAGGTTAGTGCAGCATTTTTGACTGGTAATTCATCAATATCTATAAAAATGATATATACATCTATACCCTAGAGCCTGACATTTCCACTGCTATGAATTATCCTGTGGATATACCTGCACAAACCTACAAATATAAAAGCTCCATGTGAACAGGGATCATGTTGGTCTAGCTCACCTCTGTGTTACCAGGGTATCGTAAGGCTCTGGCCTGTAATAGTCACTTGATAAATACTTGAGGTATGAACTGGTCCATGAATTGGTCCAAAAATTCTATTTCCAAGCAATGAGATACTATTATAACTATTAAAAAGAACAAGGCAAATTTAGACGTGCTTCATTGGGAATATGTTCAGAATATATGCTTAAGTGAAAAAAAGAAACCCAAATTGTACAACAGAAGATAAACGTGCTCCCATTTGTATCCAACACAAAGTGCACACAAATACACAGGCTAAAGTAGGTAAAGAAACACTCTGGAAGGGCACAGAAAACCTTTCACAATGGAAACGTTTGGGGAATGAAGATGGAAAGTTACAGGTGGTATTGAGCATGTTTTTGTTACTTTACCTTTGTCTGTAATGTTTGAATTTTACCATGAGTATATATTATTCTTATCATTATTTTTTAAAGAGCTATTATAGGCTAGTTCATACTTCCAAATATCCTAGAAAGTGCATGACTGCAGAATCCAGAATTTTGCGACCTTTGAGATTCTGTGGCAGTGATGAGAGATGCCTAGAAGTGATGCTATCTTGCCTGAAGGTGTCTGGAGCATGTCACAAAAAGCTATACTTGTGATTCGTCTCTGTTCTCATAGCTCACATACAGAACACCTCAGCCTTAGTAAATTTGTGTGGTCATTTTAATGAGTGGTGCTTATCAGGAGGTGGTGAGAAGAGGGCACTGCCGGAGAATGGAGGGCAGAAGCCCCAGGGTCTGAGGGAGAACTGTTTCCCTTGGTATGGACGTGCCGTCAGCAAGGGCAGAATTCCTTCACAACCGCTCAGCTTCCTCAGTCACACGCACAGGTCTCAGAACACAGCGCACTTTCTCTTCACACCTTGGAAGAGACTTCTGTGTCTTCCATAAACTTCTCAACGCCCCCAGCCCCTCCTTCCTCCCTCTCTCCCTTCTTTGGACTCCTGGGACTCACCCCTCCTGTCTCAGCTCATACTTACGCTCCCATAACATTGAGACTGTCCATTTGTGTTGCTCCCCACAGGCTGAAAGCTTGTCGAGGCGCAGTGCTGAGTCTTTGTTCATTGTTAGCTCAAATACCTACTACAGCGTCCCAGACACTGAAGGCAGTAGTGTGTGTTGAATGACTGAATGAAAGGAGGCACCAGCTGACATGACAGAGCAACATCCAGTTCCCCATAACTCACTTCTAGGCCTTTTTAAGCAGGTTATGTGTTTTTTATTAAATTATCTGGTTTGAAGGTAAAATAGAGCCCATACAGGTATTTACTGATATTTCAGGTAATCTGACATAGCAAATAATTTCAGGAGCTGTTTGCTACTTGCACACAGAGAAATGACTGAATTGGGCATTTTATTTAAACATTTTATATTTAGAATTTGGTCCCACTTTCCAATACTGCATCCTATTTCTCTCTTTCAGTGTCAGTTATTCTAATCTATCATTTTTGTCTGCATATTAAAGCCCTTTTCTTAGCTTCTTTATCATATTATTTTAATTTTTAAATTAAAGTTTAATGTAATTTTATTTAAGGACTAGCATAAAGGAAGTGGTTCTTGGGATTTTACAGAGCAGCCTCTTTCACATCTAAAGTGCGAAAAAGTATTTTCTGTATTTGAAAACTGTCTAAAGAGTTGTTTGACCTCTTCATTCCAGGCATGCTGCTTGCGGGCTTTCTCCTGAGAAACATCCCTGTGGTCAGTGATAACGTACAGATCAAGCACAAGTGGTCTTCTACGTTGAGAAGCATAGCCCTGTCTATTATATTGATTCGTGCCGGCCTTGGGCTTGATTCAAAGGTACTGACATGGTGAACTTCTAATCACTGACTAGGGATTTTGCTCCTCCAGTACTGCAAGTATTTAGAATCACTGAGCTTTAGAAAATGGCTGTGGACATTCTGCATGGCATTCCCAAGAAGACAACAGAATTTATTTCATGAAGGACTATCCCCAGAAGATGTTTCCATACTCTTTCTTGGAGAAAGGTGGAGTTACTTTCTGTTTGGGGACAACACCAAAATAAAGGGCCCCCCTTTCTCTGACAGAGATATAGGCCGTAGTTATAAATAATGATCATTAGGGAGACATCATTTTTTGATGCACAGAGCCCTATACAGGTGAGGTGTTCAGGGCTAACTGCACTAGCTTGGGAAACTGGTGTATAGAATGAGTCTTGAGTATGCTTTTCTAAAATGCTTTTTATTCATGTATATTTTTGAATGCGGGAATGAATATTCTTAGGGATGAAGGTCTTTAACCTATGTTCATTCTGGGGCCACAAATTATACACAAAGCTAACACTGAGAAGGTTAAACCAGCTGGTGTGGAGATTCTGAGCAGCCTGCCTGGGTCCAAACCTAGCTCCACCACTCGCCAATTTCATGATCTTGGGCAAGGACTTTTAACTTGTGCCTTTTCAGATGAGGACATCTGAAGAATGGGGGTAGTAGTATTACCTATATCATAGGGTTGCTATTAGGGCTAAATAAGCTATCTCTAAGACACTTAGAACACTGAAATGTTTGTGAAATAAAACTCATTACCTGGAAACTTCATAATAATCCAGACGTGGTCTGAATATGAAGAAAAAGCATTTAATGTCCTTTTCTCTGCATGTCTTTAGAGGGTTACTTTAGCATGTCTGTTTTTATATTTCAGGCCCTGAAGAAGTTGAAGGGTATTTGTATGCGGTTATCCATGGGTCCTTGTCTTGTGGAGGCGTGCACGTCTGCTCTTCTTGCTCACTTCCTGATGGGTCTGCCATGGCAATGGGCATTTATCCTGGGGTAATGATTTTTGCGTGTCATCTGAAAATATGCGTGAACATTTAGGACTTTCTCTGATTCTATACAAGAAGATGCATAATAGCATTTTCTTAAGGACATCAGAAAATACAATATGGACATTCCAGCATAATATTATAACTATTAACATTCCAACATGTAAAGATCATAACTTCAAAATATAGTATACGTCTTTGTAGGTGCTTTTACAGTGGTTATAATCATTTATACTATTGAGGAAGTCATAGATTTTTTACCTACACCTGATTGCATGCTGGTGAGAGAGCTGCTGGATCTCCCCTCAGAGTCTGCACCAAGGGTGATGCATACACCAGCAGTGACCAACACCTGCACTGTTTCCCTGCTTCTGCCCCCAGACCGTTGTGATTGGGGGATTCTGCTGCCTCTTCCTTCCACTGTCAGTTCTTATTTCCAATGGCTAAGGGCCAGAAGAGAAAAATAAATATAAATTGCTTAGTAAAAATGTTGTGCTAATAAGTAGGCGAGAAATTAGTTATTACTTCTCATGGCCAAGACTCTGGAGCTACACTGCCTGGACTCAGGTCCCCGCTCTGTGATTTCCCAGTGTGTGATCTTCGGCAATTTACTTAATTTCTCTGTGCCTCAGTGTCCTCATCTGAAAAACAAACAGAATGATTGTAGCTACCTCATAGGGTTGTTGTGAGGATTAAATTATTTAATATATGTAAAGTGCTTAAATGGTTTTTAGCACATGGTAAGCACTCTGAAATGCTTCTGGTGTTACCACTACTGCTATTCTTAGTATCTCTGTCACTGTTATTACAGCCTTCCCCCTCCTAATCTGTTGTTTTATTTTACATACCAAGCCCTGGTAGAAGAAGGCCTGGCTTCACCAGATTTCAACCCCAAAATCCATGGCCATGAGGTTTTTTAAACCTCAGGCCACAAATGTTTTGTTTTTTAAAATGGCAGGTTCCTGGAGCCTAACCCCCTTAGGTCTTCTAGACCACCCATAAATATATATATATATTTAGGCAGCCAAAGTGCTTGCAGTGCGGGTTGTTCGTGGCCACACTTTGTAAAGTGTTCCGTAGAACCCCTGTGTGTGTATGTGTTTCTGGTTTGATGCATCACTGCAATTGGAAAGACGATCTAAAGGGTATCCTCTCAAAGAGCAGAGGTTATTATGATTTCAGTAATAACGATGATAAGTGACACACTCCCACAAATGTCTGAAGCGCCGCCTGCTTAGTTTTGTTGTAGGTGCCGTCTCTCCAGCTGTCGTGGTGCCTTCCATGCTCCTTCTGCAGGAAGGAGGCTATGGTGTTGAAAAAGGTATCCCGACCTTACTCATGGCTGCTGGCAGCTTTGATGACATTCTGGCCATCACCGGCTTCAACACCTGCTTGGGCATGGCCTTTTCCACAGGTAAACGATCAGTTCTCAATGTGCTGTTCTCTTGAGCTCGAGAGAGAGATTATGATACACAAGTGTGGCATTTTGGCAGGATGATTGGTGAAGGCAAGTTAAAATAAAGAAAGCAACTCCAAGAGCTAGTTCCTTACCTAAGGGGGAGCCAGTAGCTTCCTAGCTTTACCCTCTAGACACAGATGGCTCAAGTAGTATGGAAGTGCATGAAGGGGGCTGCAAAGTAGCAACGTTTAAAGAAGGAGCACAGCTTTTGCACGGAGCCATCTAGAAAGTTTAATCTTGGAGACTTCACACAGGGACGAGTAGGTTTTTCAATGAGCACAAGTAACAGAGAAGATTCCAAGTCGAAGGAGCAATTTATCTTCTCTCATCTTTAACATTTTATAAATAATAACAATGATTTTAATGAGTATCTTATTATTACTTAATAATTGTCTGATATGGATGTATTTTGTTTTAAGTAGTAATAAAAGAGGAACACACCTTAGGAAGTTATATATTCTCTCTCCAGCCCCTGTAGTTATCTTAACCATTTTTGGTTATATATGATTTATACTGATTACCTAGAGCCTCACCTCTTCCTATTGCCCCAGTTGCCTTGCATCCAGTCCCTGCCATGTCTCACTAGTAAATTAATCTTATCAAAACATGGCTTTTATAATGTTACTTGCTTGTTCAAGAACCAATGAGGATTCCCTATTACCTATTAAATCAAATCTACGTTGTTGTCTTTATTTTAACTCTACTGCACATATCCAAACTTATGTTCTCGCTGATTTCCTAGTATATACCTTTAAAACAATGGTTCTCAGCCTCAGCTTCACACAAGTGTTGAGGTAAGAAATGTCCAAACCTGCAGAGAATTTGTTTGCATTTATTTGAGCCAAACTGATGACAACTGCCAGGAAGCCAAATCTTAATGAATTGAGAAAGTGCTCCGGAGAATAGCAGTTTTACAGCTTATTTTATACATTAAAATCAAAGGAGCAGCTGTAAGGGGGTGTTACATGAAATTCATTGGTGATAGATTAGGGAGGCAGGAAAAAGCAAAGCAGCAGATTGGATAAACAGTAAACAGAGACACATGCTCCTTTTATATTGGTGGATACAGGATAGTTAACAATTAACATGTACAGCACACAGAGATGGTACTTGGGCAACAAGATAGTAATGAGGGGTTCTGTGATCTGGTCGGAGGTTGTGCTTTGAGGGATCTGGAAAAGGAAATTACTCTGACATTTCAAAGGTATGTTATCTTAGATTCAAAAAGACAGTAGACAGGCTCATCAAGGTAAAGATTGGCCTTTATCAAGGAAGCTATTGGCCAAGGATGTGACTACCTGCAGCGACTCACTCTTAGTTAGGAATTTTTATTATTCAGACCATCCTTATGTGGTTACTTTTAGTCTCTGAGTCTGTAAGGCTCACCATGCAGGCCTCCCCTGAGTTTGTCAGGTTTAGTATGTGGCCCACACACTAGAATTACCTGAGGGAGGTGGGGTTAAAAAGTCCTCATATATGGGCCCTACCTTAGACCAATTAAATCAAAACCTTTGGGAACAAAAACATGGCTTTAAAGTGTTAAAAAATAATCAACCAGCCCTGGCTGTTGTGGCTCAGTTGATTGGAGCATTGTCCCCTGTACTGAAAGGCTGTGGGTTCGATCCCTGGTCCGGGCACATTCAGGAAAGCAACTAATGGATGTTTCTCTCTCACATCAAGAGGATATCTCTCTCTCTCTCTCTCTCTCTCTCTCTCTCTCTCTCTCTCTCTCTCTCTCTCTGCCTCTCTCCCCCCCCCTTCCCCTCTTTCTAAAAATCAACAAGCATGTCCTCGGGGGAGGGTTAAAATAATTAAATTAAATTAAATTAAATAATCAACCAAATAAACTTGAAGATCTAATTGACTTTATTAAGTGATTCATGAATCAGGCAGCATGCCATTTAGCAACCAGAAGGCACTCTAAGGGGTTGCACAAAATAGAATATTGTTATAGGAAAAGAGAACCATTAGTAGAAGAAAGGATTATTTTTTTTCCAAACAGTCTTTTTTGAGTGGGGAGGGAAGACAAGGATTTATACTGTGCAGATTGCCTCTTCTTTCTATGGGGGATGGAGAGAGCCCAAAAAACAGGACACCTCCTTACTGTTAACCAAGAAATTCCAGAGAGAGAAACACGATGGTGGCGCAGGTAACAGCTGTGCCCGCCGCCTCGCACAACCACATCAAAATCACAACTAAGACACAGAACCACCATCACTCAGAGCCTCCTGGAATCTGGCTGCACAGAAGCCCCACAACCAGGGAACTGAAGAAGCACCGAGACCAGGAGGAGGGGCGGGGACACGGGCGGATCGGGGCTGAATCACGGAGACGCGGCCGCGGGCCCACACCCGGTGCCGTGGGTTAAACCTGGGAGGGAATCTCAGCGGCGGAGTTTTCCTGGAGGACGGAGGGGTCCCAGCCCCACATCGGGCCCCCAGCCCAGGGCTCCAGGGCCAGGAAGAGAAGTCCCCACACCTTCGGGCTGTGAAAACCAGCAGTGACTGTCCCTGAGGGTCATGGAGGCTGCTGGAGCCCCAGGCTTTCCTCTTAAAGGGCCCGCACACGGACTCACTCGGATGCGCTCCCTCTGAGCCCAGCGCCCGGCAGCAGCTTGAAAGGACCTGGGACACTCGGGGAGGAACTAACCTGCCTGAAATCCGGGCGAGAGCTGGAGGGGCAGCTTCCTCCCAGGCAGAAGGGCTG